CGACAGATATTGAGGTCCTAAACCATATAGGGCTTTATATGTCATCATTAGTACTTTGAAATCAATGCAGAAATGAATGGGCACCCAATGCATGGCAGCCAAAGTAGGTGAGATATTTTGGTGTTTTCTCACCCCAGTAAGAAGACTGGCTGCCATGGTCTGCACCATTTCAAGCTTCCGCATCAATCTCTAAGGTAGCCCCACGTAGAGCGCATTACAGTAGATTAATCTCAAGACTACAAGCGCATAGACCAAAGTGGGGAGGGCCCCCACATCATGATTTGGGTGCAGCTGGGCAATCTGCCAAAGATGAAAATAGGCGGTACAGACCACTGACACTACCTGGATCTCCATGGTGAGCACCGGGTCAAGATGGACCCCCAGACTGTGAACCAAATTTTTTGTGGTGAGAGTCACCCAAACGGCATCTGGGAGTTCACCAAACCACTAACATCAGGGCCAACCACCCTCAGGACCTCCATTTTGTTCAGGTTCAGCCTCAGACCATTCACGTGCATCCCCCCCATTACGGCCTCCAGACAGTGCTGAAGGGACGAAACGGCATCCACTGTTGATGGAGAAAAGGAGATGTAGAGCTGGGTGTCATCAGCGTACTGATGACACAGAGTCCCACACCCCCTGATGACCTGACCCAGTGTCCAACCATGACAAGGGGACGGACACAAGGTCGGTTACCATCAGACCACATTCACTTAGCTTGGGGGAGAACACCAGGTCTATCATGTGACTGCACATGTGGGTGGGGCCGTTATCATGTTGGGACATGTCCAAGGAAGCCATGGTTTCCAAGATCTCAAGAGCCAGGCCGAAAACCTCCACTGCCACAAGGATGTTGAAATCAAAAGCCTTGGAGACTCCAACAGTGCCACAGAGACAAAGTCTGCCAGCTCTAGTAAGGAAATAGCTGGGTTGCGGAAAGTGTGGTAACCCAGCAAGATCCCAATACCATCCCTGGCCCTAATCAACATGTGTAGGGCCTCAAGACCTGGTGCCACCATCGTGGAGCTCCTAACAACCTCTAGATGCTTTGATTTGAGGGAACAATTAATTTACTTATTTAAAATATTTTTACCCTGCCTATCTCCTTGAAAAGAACCCAAGATGGCTTACAGCAATGAAAGTCAGCATGTAAAGTTGAAAAGACCTTTGTTATACTGTTCAGTATACTTGTGACTTTACACAAGACTATAGTCATTATGGACCTGGGGGGCATGACTGATGAATACGGTCTAAATAAACAGAACAAATATGGCTTTTCTGTTTTTAAAAGGCACAAACTGGTATTAACCATTTCAAGATTCAGTTAATAACATTTTATACTACAGTTAATACAGCATGAATTCTGAAGGACCAAACATATTCCTACAATCCATACTCATATTTTATAGACCCATAATGTCCACTAAGGCAGTATAAAGACCTGGCAATCTGGGTAATTACTAGCATGGAAAACTGACAAGAACTATCAAATGCGAAATGCCAAATAGTACCTAATGTATTCTTCAGCACTTGATTTGCCTTCTTGCATGCAATAATACATGCTGTCTTCATGTGAGTAGCATATATAATGGAATTCAGAGCTGCAATCTAAATTTTAAGTACACACGCACATGCACGCACACACACATGTGCACACAAACAATGCCAAAGCTCACTGTAGGGTGCTTTTGAAGCTCATTTAAAAAGTAAAAATCTTACAGTTCTGTCTTCAGCTGTAGAGCCCTGTTCTGCACACCTCACTTGTACCTCAGAGAAAATGTGGTGTAGCGCTTAGAGCACTGGACTAGGAGACCTGTTAGTAGTCTGCATTGGGTTATTAAACTCACAGACAATGAATGGGGCAGTCATCCTCTCTTAGCTTGACCTACTTAACAACGCTGCTGTGAGTGTAAGTGCAGAGGTATACTACCCTGAGCTTCCTGGAGGAAAGGTAAATAGAAATGCAACTAATAAACGATACTCAGGCAATATCCAATAGAAAGATTAAATTCAGCGGTAGACAAAGGGCTCATGTGACCACTGAGTGACATCTGCAGGGCTACCAAGTGCTACAATTCTAGTTGACCTTAAGAGTCTGATGGCATTTAAGGTAGGCTCTCCACCAGATTAAGACAAATTACAAATTCTGAATCAAATCAATCTAATTTGGGGTATTTGCACGAGGTTTAGATTGATGCAGAATGAGTAGATTAGGTTCTGAGTTAATTTACACATGGATTTGTGTCCAGAGAACAAACTGAATTTAATGGGGCACAAATATTGTTTTTGTTGTTTAAAAAGAGAGCGAAGCTTAAAATTGCCTAGCACTGAAACTAGATGCTGAAATCTAGCAGCTTTACCCCACTCTTTAAATTCTATCATGTCTTCAAATTCCATATAAAATGAAAAGGTTACATCTCTTTCAGTTTTCCAAAGCAAGACAGGAAGGAGTTTATAAACCAGCACAGATCTGGAGCACAAACGGAATCAGAAGAAGCACAAACCACTCTGGATAAAATTGGGCTACATTCGAAATTCTCAGCTTGGCCTCAAGACCAGATTGGAGGGCACAGGCACAACTGTAATTTAAACTGACTGTCGGGTATGAGCTGACTCTTAACAGGGAAAAGCAAGTTGCCCCTTCTATTCAACCTTTTTAAAGAAGTAGTAACATTTGTCTGTGCACACATATCCAGACAAAAACAAACAGACAAAACCAATGCCAACAAATAAAAATCAAAACCCTACATTTTCAAACATCACAGACCAGGCTACCAATTGTGAGACTATCCATATAAACCAGAATGTGTATGGAGCCAACATTCTTATGATTAATTACTTATGCCAATAATGCTGTTGTGATCTTGCAAAATCATTACCTGTGCAAAGCTTTTATATAGCCTGTGGTTTTGCTTCACTCTAAAATGTCTGAACTGGATGTATCCACGAAGGTTCACATTGAAATAAAACAATTAGTTTCTTAGGTGCCTCAATGATTTCTGTTTGTTCATGTGTATTCATTCATTCATTTTTATTTTTGCTCTTTTTTCAGTTGTATGTTTTGTTTTGTTTTTCGGGTCTGGGTATCTTTCCAGTTTAGTTTAGTCAGTTTAGACATGTACAGTGGTGCCTCGCACAACGAGGTTAATCCGTTCCAGATTAACCCTCGCTGTGTGAAAACATCGCTGTACGGATCAAAAAAAGCCATTGGAACACATTAAACTTAGTTTAATGCGTTTCAATAGCAGCTTTACTCACTGTACAGTGATGTTTCTCCAATGGCCAGCAGCCATTTTCCCGCCCTCCCCTCGCTTAACAAGGGCATGAAAACGCTGTGCGCAGCCATTTTGGGGCTTCCGGCAGCCATTTTGAAGCCGCCTAACAGCTGATCGGCGGGTCGCAAAGCAAAGGTCGGTAAGCGAACCGCTTACCGACCTTCGCTTTGCGATTTTGAGCCATAGGGGCCGTCGGTGTGCGATCGCATTTGCAATAGCTAGAACGGCATCGTTGTGCGAATTCGTCGTTCTACGGTGCACTCGTTGTGCTAGGCACCACTGTATATTCAATTCTTCTACCTAATGCACATGATGATCTGAGTTATCAGTATTTAAAAATTGCTGCACTATACCTAATCCCCTAGGATGCAAAATGCATGCTGTAGTGAGAAAGAGGGTGGGCGATAGTCACCTTGATTCAGTTCAGCGCAGTCCAGTACTGAACTGATGCAACTTTAGCAACTGGCATTGCTATAGGCTTTTGTGGACTCCAGTTGGAGCGGAGCCGGAAGGATAGCAATTGGCTGGAAACAAATTAAAAGGACACCTGTACAAACACTAGATTTCTCCTTTTTTGTTCTCTTTCTCCCTCAAGCACACAGACTACCACCTGCTTCCCTTAGATAAAATGGACATCCATGTAGATGTCTCAGTAAAAACATTTGGTTCATTTACAGGGTGGAAAGAAGTGAAAAAGGAAGGGAGGGGGGAAATGCATGATGTAAGTAGTTCAGACAACTTTGTGGGACACTGTTTGTATGGAGCCAGCAGGGAGAGAGTTCTCTTCTTTTGAAACTGCGCCCACCCACCAAATACTTGCTTCTTTTCTTTTCTTTTCCCACAGTGGTAGTAATTCTCTTTCAATCTGTTTCTGAGGAAGGGTGCTAGCCAAAGGCATGACTCACAGCACAGCTCAAATGTCTGTGTGTTTGGCTACAGGCAGGGCACCACCCCCTGAAAAGCTGGAATCCTAACGACATATAAGCACAAACAAAGCTATACTGTACGTCTTTGATCAATAAAACACTTCCATTGGGATGTAACCACAGCCTCCAATCCTTTTCCTTCCAGGCTGTTTTCTTAGGCATCACCGAGGCACAAGAACTGTTTAATGCAACAATGGCCAACTGAACAGAACTTGCATCTGTGAAAGATCTGAGTACTTTATTTATTTATTTATTTATTTATTTATTTACTTACTTACTTACTTACTTACTTACTGTATGCATATTTGTTAAACAACCTACTTTCTGTGTTTGTTTGTTTCAGAGCACTGCACAATTTAAAATTATGAATGTATATGAAAGTGACAGGAAGTTTGCAGTACAATGCTTCTGGAAGAGTAGGATTGGCTGGCTCTACTCTGTTGCCCAGGGCATACCTAAGTATACTTATAACACTTGGCAGTGGCAGGGAATGTTCTTTGTAACAAGTTAGAAAGAAACTTTGAGACTTCTGAGTACAAGGTTACATGGTGTTTTACTCCAAGTTGGTTATTAATTTCGGCTAATTAAGGCTAGGGATGCAATTCCTTGCTTGTCTCATTCTTGTTTGCAGAAGACCCACAACACTTTTCTGAGATGATAGCAATGTGAATGGCCATTTGTGAGAATATTTGCACGAATAGTGAAAACAACACAAATTGTGCAAAATTAGAATAGCTGCTGTTTTGGTTTTTTGATTTTTAAGAAGTAAGAGCACAGGATAAATTTTTGGTCTTTTTTGAACAATCTCTCAAGACTTCTGTGCATGCTACGTGTGTGTGTGTGTGTGTGTGTGTGTGTGTGTGTGCTCTCTCGCGCGCGCACGCGTGCGTGCGCGTGTGCATTTGCTTTGTTTTGCTTTGCTTCTTAGGGTGAATAGGCACTAGTTTTGGGTAAAAATACTTTGCAAAAATTCTTGAAACTGAAGACTTCTTTCTTGCATTTTTGCTGGAGATGATGAATGTTGTGGGGCTTGAAATTCCTTTTTGTTGTGTCTTGTCAGACTGAAGCAGCCTAGATCATCAAGAAGACCTGGCTCTTTAAGCAGGCCTTCCATCCGATCACTACTTGATTTTCTTTTCTATCTTATGTTCCATTTTGCTTTTCTATCTTGAATGCCACTAATCTTCTTGATTTGTCATTTTAATTATTTATATGATGTTTTTCATGTTTTTACTATAAGCCGCCCAGAGTAGATGGGTGGGATACAAATCTAATAAATAAATAAATAAATAAATAAATAAATAAATAAATAAATAAATAAATAAATAAATAAATAAATAAATAAGAAGGAATATAACAAATATTCTTCACATCCCTAGTTAAAGCAAAGTAGTAAACTTCTGTTAAATGAGCAGGCCTGCAGAGGATTAAACAGCTGCACACCAAACCCAGATTAGCTTTTGCCTCAAGAAAGTCAGTTTTAGTTAAGAAAGGCACTTTGATTTGTGTAAATATTAATTATAATCTGGTGGATCAGCATGCAGTCGTACAACACATTTATTTCAACAGTGTGCCTTTTTGCATTATTTTCCCATTCTGCAGTTCTCTTGAGCAAAATGATAAACAACTTAAATCCAACCACTCCAATAAATAAATAAATAAAAATCTAGTCACAAAACCAAGGAGTTTTTTGAATGCTAGTCTTCCTGGATTTTTTTAAACAGCCATGCTGGTGGAGTGTGTGTGGGAGAACATGAAAGAAAGCTGCAGTGTGTATGTGTGCTCATGCATGCGTTTTTCATCACTGTCTACCTAATAGATCAGCATGGACTAATGAATTCACAAAATAAAAACCATTTAGTAGAGCTTGAAGAAAGTCCTGGTGGAATTACTGTATATGCTGCAGACTACATAGTATGGTCTGAAGAGAAAAAATGATATACTGCTTCTGCAGTATTTCATCTCAGTGTATTATAGCCATACATTCTACTTGCAATCATTAAAAAAATAAAAAAATGCAAAACTATCAATTATTTGAAGAACAATGGAAATCACATATGCACTTTTCTGAGTCACTAGCAAAGCTTTATAAAATGTTTGCATTTGTTTTTAATTTCCATAAAGAACTGAATGCATGGAGACATTTCCTGTTCCCACTGGCTGGGCAACGTTTGGAAAGTTACTTTGGGCAAATCTTGGAAATTTATTTTTAAAAATGTTGTAGAGTTACAGTGCCAGTGTCCCAGAAAAGGCAGTCAGTTATAGTTACATTTTTTTAAAAAAAGTAATTTATTTTCATGTTTCTTTAAAGTAATGAAAAGTTATATGTCAGTATTATACAAGATATCTACAAGTCACAGGTTTTTAGTACAAGGGACTAAGTAAAAGATGGAACAGAATGAAATGGACCAGAACACAGACTTGACATTTTTTCCTGTGTATAAGTTGCCCCCTCCCCCACTTTTCTAACTCGAAATTAAGAAATCGGAGCGGGACTTAGCTATCCCCCTTCATGCTAAGTCCTGCAATCCCCTATAATGACAAGAACATCTTTCTTTGGTGTCAGTTCTAGAAGGTGTTGTAAGTCTTCATAGAATTCGTCAGTTTCAACTTCTTCAGCATTGGTGGTTGGTTCCTAAACTTGGATGACTGTGATGTTGAAAGGTCTGCCTTGGATTCATATTAAAATGATTCTATCACTTTTGAGATTATATCCCAATACAGCTTTTCCCACTTTTTTGTTGATTATGAGGGCTACTCCATTTCTTCTACGGGATTCTTGCCCACAATAGTAGATATGATAATTGTCTGAATTGAATTTGCCCATTCCTGGCCATTTTAGTTCACTGACACCCAGGATGTCAATGTTGATTCTTGCCATCTCCTGTTTGACCACATCCAGCTTCCCAAGGTCCATAGATCTTGAATTCCAGGTACCTATGCAGTATTTTTCTTTGCGGCATCAGACTTTCCTTTCACTTGCAGGTGCATCCGTAGCTGAGCGTCCCTTCGTCTTTGGCCCAACTAATTCATTAACACTGGAGCTCCTTGTACTTGTCCTCTGCTCTTCCTCTGTAGCATGTTGGACACCTCCTGACCTGAGGGACTCATCTTCCAGCGTCATATCTTTTAGCCTTTTGTTTCTGTCCATGGGTTGTTGTTTTTTTGGCAAAGATACTGGAGTGGCTAGCCAATTCATGCTCTAGGTGGATCGCATTTAGTCAGAACACTCCACTATGACCTGCCCATCTTGGGTGTCCCTGCATGGCATAGCCCATAGCTTCTCTGAATTATTCAAGCCCCTTTGCCACAACAAGGCAGCAATCCATGAAGGAGGTACAGTGCATTACAGTAGTCTAATCCTGAGACTGCAAGCACATGGACTAGAATGGTGAGGGCACCCACATGAAGATAGGAATGCATCTGGGCAATCTGCCAAAGATGCAAATAGGCGGTACGGATCACTGACACTACCTGGATCTCCATGGTGAGCGCCTTGTCAAGATGGACCCCCAGAATGTGAACCAAATTCTTTGTGGTGATAGTCACCCCTCAAAAGAGAAGGAGTTCCGCATACCACTGACATTGGGGCCAACCACCTTCAGGATCTCTGTCTTGTCCGGGTTCAGCCTCAGACCATTCACCTGCATCCATTTCAGTATGGCCTCTAGATAGCGCTGAAGGGACAAAATGGCATCCACTGCTGTTGGAGAAAAGGAGATGTAGAACTGGATGTCATCAGCGCACTGATGACATGAAGCCCCACACCCCTTGATGACCTGACCCAGCGGCCTTATGTAGGTATTAAACAGCATTGGGGATATAAGCAAGCCCTGAGGAGCCTCACATTTAAGATTCCATGGAGCCAATACACTCTCCCCAAGCTCTGCTCCCTGGGGATGGTCCTCCAAGAAGGATCTGAGCCAAGCTAGTGCAAGACCACTGATTCCCAGCTCAGAGAGCTTCCCCAGGAGGATACCATGGTGGATGGTATCGAAGGTGGCTGAGATATCGTGAAGGACAAACAGAGACATTTTGCCCCTGTTGGCCTCCCTCAAAAGGTCATCAAACAGGGTGACCATTTAGTTAACTGGTCTGTTGATGCTTCTGAGTTGCTATATTTTTTGTCCTGGATTATTTTATGAGTATTTCCAAATGCTTGCTCATTTTATTAGGTGTGGTTTTTGTTGCAACAGCATCACCTCCATTCTTCTTCTCCTCATCTTTTAAGCAGGGTGTATGGAAGTCTTGACGTCAAACATATCAAAATAAAGAAAAGTGTCTATTGCTGAATTCTTTGTGATCTTCCCCTGATGATTCCACAACTCTGCTTTCAATTTTCCTCCTCATTCCCTTATCAATTTTCATGACCAACCTGGGTCTGTGGGTATAATTATCCATACAGTTGAAAGGCATCCTCCATGTGGAAAAAGGAAGGTATCAACAGGTTTGTAGGAGACATAATACTGGACAGAAGGAATGCCACCTCACTTTAGGGAGAAGCTCCAATAAAGGCGACTTTTTTAAAAAAAAGTCTCATGAGAAGTGAATGTGTTAAAGGCATGAGGTTTAGCTGTTGGAGAAAAGAAAAGGGAAAGACAAATGTGGAAATGAAATGGAATGGTTGGAATCCTGAAGAGCCCTCTTTGTCACCATGTCTGTCACTCTGCTACATATAAAGGGCAACAGGTCTGAAGAAGATCTGCAGCCTGTAGGGTGCTCTATATCACTGGTTCTTAACCTTTGTTACTCAGGTGTTTTTGAACTGCAACTCCCAGAAACCCCAGCCAGCAGAGGTGATCGTGAAGGCTTCTGGGAGCTGCAGTCCAAAAATATCTGATTAACAAAGGTTAAGAACCGGTGCTCTATATGAATTGCAACTCAATTTTCCAGGGTTATGACTCAAATTGAGAGCACCCTCAGATCCCTCTTCAGATTTGTTGCCCTCCCCATGTAACTGAGTGATGGACGTGGTGACGAAGAAGGATAGGGCAGGATGCAACTCTTCTCTGTGCATTATTCTACATGCTTTCTAATGCCTGGATAAGGCTTATACTTCAACATTTTCTTGCAGCTCCCTCTGGAGGTTCTAAATTCCATGGGGATTATCTAGTGCTAGTCTACATGAGCATTTATTCAGCTAGTAGCTTTGGAGGCAAATGTGCATGACCAGTTTCATCCAAAAAGTTCAATGCTTTCCAGCATTGTAGATGCATATTCCCGAATGCATTCATCAACCGTGCACTCCCATGCTGAGTGTGCCAGATGGAGGACAGGACATTTTCTGCTTTCTCCTCTGAGGCAGTTTTTATTTGTAATGTTATTTTGTGTTATAGTTGTCTTGAGTGTTCTAGCATTACTCCTGCAGTCTTCTAAAATCAATTTTCTTTCATAATTCTGCTGACTCTAGAGTATAAAACAGTTTAAATTCTCTGTGTTTCTTATTTATCCACATGGCTCCAATTTTTCACTTACATTCTCTTTCCATTTCTAAATTTCCTAGCAGATGAATGGATTTTTAAGCCAGAGTGATATTCTTCCATTGCTGTTTTTGTTCTTTTTCTTTTCTCAAGTAATTAATGAAAATAGTTACACATGCTACCTTAACACAACTTCAAAAAAATCAGGCTGCAGTCCTGTCCCCATGTATTTCTATGTAACTACCAATGACTTCAATAGGAGTTGCACTTCGGTATCTATGTACTGGATAACAGACATTTGTTCTGTAATAGATTTGCTGTTCTCAGAGAATGAATCAGAACAGGAAATGAGATTTCTACTGCTGTGACTGGAAATATTTGTTTCTGTAAACAATCTTCTTTGAATATCTGAAGATTATCTTGCATTTCTTTCAATCTGAAATACTCTCTGTAACTCAGATATCTGTAGGAAATTACTCACTTGATGATCCTTCTAAAATTCTAATGTAGATTAGGGGTGAGTGAATTTTCTAACCTGTTCTTGTTCTGTGTTTTATTTCTTTTCCTGAAATTACTACTACACACAAGATTCCTTGTATATTACTAGATCTGTATAAGAAAATGAAAAATGTTAAGAACTAGAAGGAGCTGAAATCTCTAGCAAAATGTGCATGTGCAGAGATTTGTCCAAAGAGAGTGTGTGAGGGGAATAGATGAATAGAGAACTTCTAATCCATCTGTGCCACTCTGCAGACAAGCTAAATAATTTTGACTCCCAAAGACCCGAGAGTCAGATGGGAGAATTTCATGCATGGGTTTTGATGCATGTGTAGGAATGTGATCTGCCACCCATCCTGGCAATTTTTGACATTTTGCCCTAGTGGAGACTCCCCTTGTCCACTACCTGCAGAGATTTTCTGGAACAGAAGTGAGAGAAATCCTCAGAATTGTTTCTTGGGCAAGGCTGCCAATCCTGTACTACTAGTGCATGAAGCATTTTCTTTGGCAAAATGTTTGTATCTTTTTGCTACTTTTCTCCACTTCCTTACATGCTCAGTTTCAAATTGTTATATTGCTCCCTGTAAGAGTCTGAAAGTGACCAGAGGTCTTGGCAGGGAGTCTTGCAGAGTATAGCAGCAATCCTATGAATACATCTATGGAGTTATACAATAATTCATGGGAGGATGCTGTGGAAATTTTGCTGGCAGAGAATTCCCAGGAAAGTAAGAAAAATGGCATGAGTTCCTGTAAAAAGCTATGTGAGAAGCACCTATATCCACCAATCTAGGATGGAGGGCTAATACAGATGGTTTCTTGTGCAAGTATTACAAATTATCTATTGCAAGCACCCACAGTGTGGAGAAGAATCATTTCTTGTTCAGTGTAAAGGACCATGTGTGGGTTCTCTGCAGTGAGTACTAATCATTTCCAGCCAACTAAATAAGGCATATTTTGTAAAGGAAAGGAAGATTTCCCCCTGCTAGGCCTACAATATTACACATTGTTAGGAAAACTAGTTGAAATATTCAACTTGGGGGGGGGGAATCCTCTGTTTTATGACTGTGGGCCATTGTGCTTCTCTATCCACAATTCAAAATGCCAGGAAATTCACCAGTATTGACACACAATGATGTTCCTGCATTGCCAGCAGGAAAAGGGATGACAAATTTCACACAGCTAAAAGCAGCCTGAATGGTGATAACACCCATGTCAGCAAGTCAAGATGGTCTACACTATGGGATACTCTCTTATGCTCACTACCATTTCTTCTAGGTATTTATATTACCTTGTGGCTCCAAGAGATAGATATCTAACAGCTCTAACAATTGCTTTGTGTTTGGGTGAGAAGTGGCTAACTAATGCAAAAAGGAGTCATGTTCTGGAATTTTCCCCTGCTTGGTGTCTCTTTGTGAATAGTAGTAAGCACCACAGCGTGCAAACTAGAAAGCTATCTTCCATTTTCAGTGTTTCAGCCCCTGCAGCCTGGATTATTCCCAGATTTAAAAAGTGGGTGGGACTAAGCATTCACTTTCAAGATAAACAAGATCGGTGTTTTTTTAAGTTTATGTGATCCATTTAAAATTTTGGATGCTTGGCACGAATCTTCTTTGCTGCCAGGGCACATTTTGCTACTTGATGGGTAGTAGATTCATCCCTGTCCACAAGCAGCATGCAGAGTTGAGCCAGAGGAGGGCTGTCACACAAAGTTCTAAGTATGCCTGCAAGGAATTTGCTCCTGGGGTGATCATATAAAGGAAATCTTAACAAATAATGAGGAACATCTTCAACTTCTCCTGATCCACAAATAAGTCTTTGATCAAAAGGAACATTTTCATATCTTCCTACTAATATTGCAGTTGGCATATACTGAAAGCACAGAGCTGTAAACCTTTCTCTGGCATTCTTGTTGTAAGCTGCCCAGAAACCTTTGGGTAGTGTGGGCGGCATATTAGTTAAATAAAATAAAATAAATTCTTCAGTAAATATATTTTGTCTGAAAAACAAATGTACAATCTTTCCCAGTATAATAATAATTACATCTCCAAGTGCCCCTAGAAGGTACAAACTGCTTAAAATAATAGTCCAGAATTTAGTTTCTTCATTAAAAACCATTTAGGATGTCTCATGCTAGAAAAGTATGACAATTAGGAGCAAATGTTGCTGTATAATTGCAAGAATGCCTACTTTTCTGATTATAAATGGAAGGAAAAAAGAAGCCTACACACTAAGAGCAGCTGAAGTTGCATGATTCAACAGCAGAGCTTTAGCTAGAGTGTTTGATCTCATTACATAGTGGCTTTACAAAGTCTGGGAACATCCAAGGGATAGACGGATGGCAGTTTATTTGGAAACTGAATGCAATTTGAAGTAGCAGAAAGGGAACAGAACAAATATTTGACAGGCTTTAGGAAGTGATAAACAACCACTAGCAAGGAAGTGAGGCATTGCTTCCCTTCTCTGTTTCTCCCCTTAGGTTTTCTAAATAACATCCATTGAATTAAAAACAATATTCTAGCAGAATCTGCTTTAAAATAAATTGATTTCCATAATTATGCTGTCACCTAGTTCCCCTGTCTCTTCCATTTTAGGATCTGAGCCATTGCAGCAAATGGATGAGCTCCGAAAACACACTAAATGTGAATTGCTAAAGGCACAGTAAAATGACAACAACTCTTAGTAAAATAATTGAAATAATTAAAAATAATCAACCATGTATGTGATTGTGCTTGCAGGCTCCATCTGTACACATACTCATACCAACAGCAAGGAAAGAAGAATCTTGCAGGTGTCTATCCTTAGCTCAGAGATTTTCTAGTGGTGTAACAGAGGTGGGTAGCATGCATCCCAGAGGCATTTTGAACCCCAGATTTTTGTCTGTCACACCTCTCTGAGTAGCTTCTCCATGTGCATGAAAACCTTAATTTGTTTTTTTGTTTCTCTAAGCTTACATGGTAATTCTGCCTGGATAGATCAGCCTCTTCAGACTGTTTCTTTTTCATAATCAATGCTTGCCCCATTGCACATGGGCTCCACACATTTTAAGTTCTGCTCTAGCCACTGAGTAACACTACCTTATTGATCCTGCAGTGGATGAGCCTGGAAGAGTTAAATGTCGTGATGGCTAGGGAACCTGCCTAGCCCCAGTACCTCCTAACACTTCAGTCTGACCCGACTAAACAGTGCTTTCAGGGAATTCCACAAAATCCACAAGGTAAGCACCTAAGATTCTCATGCCAACCCTGCAAGGAAAGACTGCCACCTCACACAGAACAGTACAGATTCCTGATGGCTGGTCAAGGCAAGACCTGGTTTTAAATTCCACAAACTCTCTTAGCAAAAAATCCAGACAATTTATTGGATAAATTTTAATTTTTATTAAAGATAATGAAAAATGCAAAAAGAAAAAAAATTCAAAAGGTTCTAACAAGGCATCAGAAACATTTGGAGCAAAGAATCAATAAGAACTTAAAGCAGGAGCAATGCAAACAAACACACAAGAAAATAAGAACGCTAGCTGCACTATGTACTTAAACTCTAGCTTAGCATCAACATAGTCTCAGAGCATTCACAGAATGCATTATTCTTGGCATGGCATAATACGATAGCAACTGAGTAAAGTGCCTCCTAAGAGATAACTAAGCCAACCAGAGTAATTTCTGAACTTCTTTTTATACCTTATTCATCACCTTCTAGACCTTTCAAGATGGTCTACAAATCAGGCTGCGAGTTCCCTAGAATGTCCGGAAAGGCAGAAACGGTTTCTATCCCCCTCCCTTCACACACAGCTGAAGTCGTTTTCCAATTAGCACAGAGATAGGGAACAAGCCAAAAGGTTTGCCCAAAAGGTAAACCACAGGTGGTGCTTCCGTTCCTTTGAAGGCAAAAGCTGCCTCCCTCCTTTCTCCCAGCCAGCCATTCCCAAGCACTGAGATAAGACTGAAATTTTCAGAAAGATCCACACATCGCATGTCCCTCAGTTTCCCAGTTTCTTCACAGGCTACTTGGAGAAGCCTCAAACGCCTTTGATTCTTTGATTAAGATGATAGCAAAGGTGGCCGGGGCTAGGAGGCTCCTCTCTTTGCATGCGGGCTCTACATATTTTAAGCATGCCTGAATAGAATTAAACACCTGTCCAATACTCATAAATTACTACATTTCCTGTAGTGCATAATCTTTTAGAAATATGCAAAACCCACTTGTGAACATGCTCAGATTTTCTCTGAGATGGGCAAAGGTCTGGAAATTATGTCATCTTGCAGTGGCTTGCAGAGAGGAGAAATTATTTTAAATTGCCCCATTTACATTCTGAGGATAACTCAAATCAAATCATTTACTTCTCATGTGTGATGACCACCAATGACAAAAGGAGACATCAACACATATTCATAACTATGGTTTTATCTTGCTATACTTTATCCCACAAACAATACCTGTCTTTTCTGTCCTGCTAGTTCAGAGAGGAGTAAAATGAACTGGATATGATGTGCTTTGCAGCTGAAACTACTGCTGAAGTAAATTTAAAACACTGCTTGTGGACACTTCCACTCACAAGAATTACTTCATGCTACTGATATTTAGATCCATACATAGCAATATTTCTGGACACATGGTACATCATCCCATGAGGCATTGCAAGATGTTATTATCATGGCATTCTATAAACATATTCCAGGGCATTTCATGTCCCGGTATAAAGCAATATGAAACAATCACTCTGTTCAGCCCCCAATGTACAGATCATGAAGCAACATTAAGCACTCAATTTGTTTTGCCCTCAGTTTTCATCTCAGTGTGTCTGCAAAAATAGGCTCATATTCAAAGAGAGGGTTGAGGTGGCTTTTTATTTTTCACTTAATGAGTGCAAGCATCTGAGTTTGGTACTGGAAATGCACACTCCTCACTGGAGTTGATAATAAAAGACAGTAATTTCTACTCCTTTTAAAGAACAATCCTATGTGCACCTTTGTTGTTTAGTCATTAAGTCGTGTCTGACTCTTCATGACCAGAGCATGCCAGGCCCTCCTGTCTACCACTGACTCACGGTGTTGGGTCAAGTTCATGCTGGTAGCTTTGATG